TTTATCGTGATTGTTTTTAAATGTGGCACTATCATATAAGCATAGCCTATGTTAGAAGAATTTTAGAAAAATAAATAAGAAGAATCTTAATTAATTGAATTGATTCAAAACAATAGTAAACTTTAAGCAATCTGCATTCTTAAGCAACACTTGAACACATGCAACCAAATCACAGCTGCTAAAATACTCCACTGGAAAGACTGACTGGCAGCTGTAATCCTAATCACCTAATCCTTTTATTTTGATAGACAGCAGACCTAGTCAGTGAGATAACCAATGAAGAAATTTTCTTTTTAAAAATTTTAAAATCTTTTATTTTGTTTTTATTGTATGAATGTTTTGCTTTTGTGTGTATGTTTCTTCACCACATATGTGCCTGTGGTGCCTGTGGAGGTCAGAAGAGGGCATCAGATCCACTGGAACAGGAGTTACAGGCAGCTGCTGGGAATTGAACTTGTGTCCTCTGCAAGGGTAGCCAATGCTCTTAACTGAGCATCTTTTAAGCCTCAAGGAAGTAATTTTCAACTTATTTTTTTCCCACTGAGTTCATCATCTGGCCTTAGTAGAAGTGATTTTAAACATATGAGAGCATAAGTCACTGCTACTGTTCTTTGTTCCCTTCATTCTTGTGTATCCTTCCTTCAGGCTTTTAATATTAAGGCAGGCTTTCTCTTTCCTTTTTCTGTTTGTTTCAGTTTTTTGTTTGTTTGTTTTTCACGACAGGGTTTCTCTCTGTAGCCCTGACTGTCCTGAAACTCACTCTGTAGACCAGTGAGTTTGGGCTGGCCTCAAAATACCAGAGATCCACCTGCCTCTGCCGCCTCGTGCTGGGATTAAAGGGTGCACCACCACCCAGCTTTCTTGTCCCTTCTTTTTAAACAGTGGCAACACACACACATATTATGTATATATGGAAATATTTTGGCTATATATATGGAAAATATTTTGGTAATATATATATATGGGAGGTATTTCACCAAGTTATTGGTATTTTGTGAAAGATCATATCTGTATATTCTATGGGGTAATAAAAAATAGACTAACAACTGTAAAGGAAGCACTGTCATCAGTATATGCTGAACAAATACAAATAAAGGCTCAAATTGAGGGAAATAAACATCCTATTTTTGGCTTTGACGGTCTTGCCTGTGGAGTTTTAATGACCTCTGGCACGTCTCCCTGTCTCTAGTTTCTCTGTCTTTTCTCCGTTATACAACCCTGTGGGACTGACCTTTGGAAGGGACCACATTGGTCTTACAGCCCACATTTACCCCATTATTTTCCACTGCCAGAAAGTAAATAAGTAAATAAACAAAAGAATAAAAACTTGGAAGATTCCAGCCCTGCAATCCGACGGCATTAGCTTAACCTTTCTAATTTCATCTTTCATGAATCCTTCATGGAAGCCACTTTACCAAATACATCATGGCTTCAGAATTTCTTCAGATTTTCCATTGAGGGTGTGTTGGTGTTTTGCTAATTTTGCACACAATGATCTTTTGGTTTGTTTGTTTGTTTAACTCTGATTTGTACATGGAATATAGATTCAACCTTAGTTTCCCTAAAACTTTCCAGGTCATCCTGTCCAGAGGCTGCTAGGGCCGAGCGCCTTTTGCCTGTGTGGATCACTGGGATCTGTCCAGTGCTGCCTCTTTGCAGTACAGTGACTCACACTACTGCTCTCTTTTCACACATTTGTCCTACCTCCATTAAGCTCAGTAAGACCTGGTTGTCATTTCACGCTAATCTACAGGACTTTGTGCATGGCCGAGATGACATCGGTATTTGTTTATTTTGATTTTAATTATTAGTTTTCATGTCTCCAGATTGTTCACTGTCTCTGATTCGAAGCCTTCACTAGAACTTTTCTGAATATGGTCTGAAGGTGCCTGACTTTGCTTTTTACAGATTATCTGAAACCACTGGATGCCTGTAGTGTCCAAAGCATTTTTATAAATGCCATAGCAGTGTGCTGTAATCACCTTTGTGTCACATAATATACTATAATCACATCAAAGTCAGGTCTTTGGCTTTTACGTTCATCCACTCCCCACATATTCTGTGGCAATAGGACACAGATTAGTACTTTGAAACATTTAAAGAACTGTAAATTTATCATTCAAATGATTGTCAATATGCTTTTGCTGTAGGTATTAAACTAAATACTAAGAGAGTTTAAAAAGCAGGCTATCACAATAATAGGGGCTTTTTAGAGTTTAGGTGAATTTCCAAGATATATAAAGGTTCTTGGGAGGCAATTTGAAATTGTTTATCCATAAAGAAATTTCTTGGTTTTGCCTATTGTTTATGCCAGGGTGTTTTTGTGTAGCTTGGGCTCTCTTGGCACTCACTGTATAGTCCACACTGGCCTCAACCTCATAAATGCTGCAATTAAGAGCGTGTACCACCATTCATAAAAGAACTTTCTCTTGCTGAAATACTTGCTGGTTTGTTGTTCAAATATGTAAAAAACCAAATTTAAGAAAAATTTATTTTAATACAAAGGTTCAAACTCTTGAGGTAGTTAAAATTTCTTCAAAATACTCCTTTAAAGCTAACCTTTAGTTATAATGTTATATTCATTCGCTATATCCATAAAACAAATCAGTTCCATCCAGTTCTATTCTTTCTATTGATAGAGCATTGATTACATGTGCTTCTAGCACTGTGCAGGCACTGTGGGAGACTTTCAGTAAAATTATAGTACTTCACCATTCTCACAGAACTTAAAATATTTTTGAGTTTTCAGAGCTTCTGGGAAAGCAATGCAAGTAGGGTAAAATATAAGTATGATGGAAACCTTCCAACAAGGTGCCTAAATGTCTGGTACAAACATGATGGTGGATAGTGGAAATTTACCATTTTTTAAACTAGTAAGCATACCCAGAAGGAACTTTATAAAATATTTGTTACTTTAATTAATCCATTCAAAGAATTAATTATCAAATGAATCTTTGGTTTTAGGGGTTCCTGGGATTCCAAATATGAGGCAAGCATTAAACTAAGGCTAAGACCCTGATTAATGAATAAAACACATTTTCTTTCCCTCATGAAATTAAAGTCTAATGATATTCATTAGACTGTGTACATCTCATATTTACTTATTATTATTTTTTCAAGACTTTTCATTTTGTATGGCAGAACAAATAACCACCGTTTGTAAATTATCTTTCAATGGCCACGCACTGTTTGAATTTTGCCAGTAAGGGTAATTCTTTTAGTTATTATTACCTTTTATTAAATAGCCACCATCTATTGATAACTTATGCAACAGGCAGTTTCTTAATCATTTACATGACTTAAATCAGACTGTGAAAAAGCTTTGTCATGCAAATGGAATTTTTTACCCCCGTTTTGTTAACGAGAAAAATAAAACAAAAGAAAGGAACCAGCCTGCTGGACATCACACAGCCTCGCTGTGGTTTTCATGCAACAGTGTCAAGATGGGAACCTTTGTATGACAGCTTTGCAATAGAACGAGAGTAAATTAACAAGGAGAATAGTCCTTGAGGAAAGAGTCCACATTTGTATCTAGGACCATTGGGGGGAAAAAGACTTTTCTCTTTTTGTTTTGTCCTTATAATAGTAATATCATATGTGTAAAAAAAATTAAAATTAAAATTTAGGCATAGGCCTAAATGGAAAGATAGCACACATATATTAGTAATCAGATAGACGAGTAGCCCAAGATTACAGTGTATGACAGTATCAGACTGAATGTAAAAGCATGAGTTAAGATCAGACTATAGGAATATTTTAGAACCTAGTCTTTGAACTTTCTAGACATGGAATTTCTTCTGCACGAAAGAACTGAGAACGCGTCCTTGCAGCTTGCAGGTGACTGAAGAGAAATGCGCTGCGGATGGAATGCTCCAACGCGGCAACTTGCATTTGCTCGTTTGCACTTACTGTCACCCCTAAATACTGTCTGTCCTAGTTTGATATCTGAGAGTGAGATAAAATACTTACGAAAAGCAAATTGGGGGAGGAAAGACTTCATTTCCGTTTACAGATTGCTGACCATTATTGAGGGAGGCCACGGCAGGAGCGCAAGGCCGGAACTCAGGCAGAAACCACAGCAGAAAACTGCTTGCTGGTTTGCTCAACCTGCTTCCTTCAGGCACCCAGGACTGCCTGTCTACCTCTCAGGGTCCTGGGCCCTCCCACATTGATTGCTAATCAAGAAAATAACTGCCATATACTTGCCTGTAGGTCATTCTGATGGAGGCAATACCCCAAGTGAAATTCCTTCTTCCCAGGTGACCTGAGCTTGTGCCAAGTTGACCCAAACTAACAAGCACAGGGTCATATTCTTGTCCTCTTCATTAGAATAGTTCTAATAGTTCTTTTATGGACACCATTTTGTTTTTCTTGAAGCCAAGAACAAGATTTTATCACAGTGAAATAAAAATTATCAGTGGGAATGTGTAGAATGGATTTCTTGTTTTATGAGCATCTAGGAAGCAGATGGCCTCTCTCCTTTAGGAGCCTTCTGTGGTGAGAGGTCTCTAGGTTTAACTATCTGGAAAAATTTGGTTCTAGGGGTAATAGGATGGTACAAAGAAGAGAGAGAGCAATCGTTATTTCCAGATAGAAGAGAGTAAAATAACCGTAAACAGAAACGGAGAAAAAGAACTCAAATTAGTCATTTTGAAATCTAGGATCATTGCCCAAATCAGACCTTCCCTGTTTTCATTTTGTTTTCCTATTAATGCCATATGTATATTTGCCAATGGTAACTTGAGATGATCACTGTAATTGAGAAATGTTCTACTTCTAGGAGAATCCTAAGTCTGTCGCGACTGCTCTTTGCACAGCATATGTAGAATGGTAGAGCTGAATGTCAGTTTTCCTCCAGAACTGCATCACAGTTCTAACCCTGAACTTGATCTGAACCTTTTGTTTACATATAAAATTTATGTGAAGCCTTTATTAATGACCTGATCGTCTATAGCTATGTGAGTGTGTATACAGTTCACCTATTGTCTGTTATTTAACAGGGATCCACTGTGAAGAAGACATTGATGAATGCTTACCAAACCCTTGCCAGAACGGTGGTACTTGTGAGAACCTGCCTGGGGACTATACCTGTCACTGCCCCTTTGATGACATTTCTCAGACGTTTTATGGAGGAGAGGACTGCTCTGAAGTTCTCCTGGGATGCACTGATCACCAGTGTCTGAATAACGGAACATGTGTCCCTTACTTCCAGAATGGCCGGCATGGGTTCAGCTGCCAGTGCCCTTCTGGCTATGCTGGGCCACTGTGTGAAACTGTCACTACACTTTCTTTTGAGAGCAATGGCTTCCTATGGGTCACAAGTGACTCACATACAGCCAAAGGTTCAGAATGTACCATGTCCTTGAGGTTTCAGACTGTTCAGCCAAACACACTTCTCCTTTTCCGAGGCAACAGCAATGTGTCTATGAAGCTGGAGTTGCTAAATGGCTGCGTTCACCTATCAGTCGAAGTCTGGAAGCAGCCAAAGGTGCTCCTCCATATTTCCCACAACACCAGTGATGGAGAATGGCATTTGGTGGAAGTGACATTTGCAGAAACTGTAACCCTTGGCCTGACTGTCAGCTCCTGCGAGGGGAAATGCACCACTAAGTCTTCTTTTCCAGTTGAGAATCATCGATCAATATGTGCTCTTCAGAACTCTTTTTTGGGTGGCCTACCTACGGGAACAGCCAGCAATGGTGTGTCTGTGCTTAACGTCTCTAACGTGCCGTCAGCACCTTCCTTTGTAGGCTGTCTCCAAGATATTAAATTTGATTTGAATCCCGTCACTCTGGAGAACATTCCATCTGGCTTATCACAAAATGTCAAAGCAGGCTGCGTGAGACGGGACTGGTGTGAAAGTCAACCTTGTCAAAACAGAGGACGCTGCATCAACTTGTGGCAGGGCTATCAGTGTGAATGTGACAGGCCCTATACAGGCTCCAACTGCCTGAAAGGTGAGAGAAGTGGGGTGCCCAGGAGTGCTGAGCCTCAGAGCAGAGCCATCTCAGAACACCCGGCTGCCACCCCTGTTAGTGGAACACAAGGACCCCTCAGAACTTATGCTATGTTTTGCTCACTAATGTCATAAAAGGACACAGCAGTGATATGTACTAATTATGAATGGGTTTCATGGGATAGCTAAGCTTTACTTGACTGAAAAGTAAAGTTAGTATTAATAATAATAATTACAATAAGCAAATAGCTCCTATCAAAATGGTGTTTCATCTAGTTAGTAAAATGCTCTTAGAAAACTTTGCCATTTATTGCAAATCAAAAATGTATTAAAAACCTTACTTATTTGTATAAGATGTAATATTTTGAAGAAAAGGGAGTTTGGGGCACAAAACTAATTAGTGCCACATACTAGTACTGTATCATGTGCTTGCTAGTCTCAGTGAATCTACACTTTCCTGCTTTCTCTCTGCACTGTTTGTGCTTCCTTAAGAATCATGCTTAAGATGAGCAGGGTCTAGTCAAAACTGTCTCTTTCAAGGTCTTATTGTATAGAGCAAATAGATGTCTGTAGAAGGATAAAAGAAAGAAAGGCCTGAAATGTATCATCAGTAAAACTTGGTTGTTGTCCTATACAAATCTATCTGATTCCTCTGGCAAGTCAGTTTGAAGTGTATTGCAAACTCTTTACTTCCAGCATCACCGCCAGACGGCTGTTGATAGCGGCCAATGCAGACCTGCTCACTCCTGGTCTGAGGGGGAACTCTAACAGAGCGCTTTGAAGTTGGGCTGCAATTTACTCCAGCATTTTAGAACGAGTCCGAGTAGGACAACATGTGGTAAATAGTCTCCTCTGTTCTGTATGAAGGAGAATTAAAACCAGCCGTAGCCTCTACCCTACTCCATGTCCAATGGCTAAGAATTATTAGAAACTATTCGCAGGTTTTCCCTTAACCACAATATTCCTTACAATCATGGACCTGTTTGACAATGAGGCATGGCATCTGCTGCTCCGTGCAATATTTTAAATGGCATGGCAAGTTGTTTTGTGATTATTTTTAAAGAAGAAAAGGTGAAATTATGCCGAGGCAATGGTTCACTTTTTGAAGAAAAATCTAATTGACCCAAGGCAATATTTTTACTACATATACAAAATAACAAACAGATGCGGGCTCGTTTTGACTGGCTTCCAGATGCAGTGACCCCTGAGGTTAGGGCTGACCTGGGGACGCTGACTGTCCTCGGAAACAAATTCGAGAGATGCCAAGCCAGTGGGTTCTGGTTTCCTTTACATTTTTTTCCAGCTTGGAAAATAATGAACTTTTAAAACAAAATTCCTGGTTTGGATACACTTTTCATATTTCCCGAAATAGTATGATTATACCCCTATGCGCATACTGAGTTTGATTATAACCCCTAAACATACACACAGTGCGTAGAAGAATATCCTCTATTTTCACACTGTTTGAAATGGTTTAACCCAAAATTTGTTATCAAAAGATTATAGAGCAGGAATTTCATAAAACCGTTGGTTTCTGAAAATTAGGGGAGAAATTTTAAAGGAAAGTTATAATTTTCATGTTGCCTCTGAATTATAAAGTTGAGATATTCTGTGTTGCTGAAATCTATAAAGAAATGTTTTCTGTATCCTATTCTTTTCACACACACACACAAACAGACACACACACACTTAAGTCCACAAATGAGACATAGAGTCTATCTGCCAGTCTATATGTATATTCAAGATGAGTTACACTGAAAATCAAAAGGGCAAGCCACTCAAATAATGATTTTAAGAATATATTTTACTATTTTATTTTATGTGAGAGTCTGAGTGTATATTTATGCACCATGTGAGTGCAGGGACCTATCGATGTCTGAGGATCCCCTGGAAGAGAAATTAAGGAGAGTTTTGAACTGCTTGATGTGAGTACTTGGGGACCAAACCTTGGTCCTCTCCAGGGCAGCAGCCTTTTTCCAGCCCACAGATAATGGTTTTGAAACTATGTTACCACCAGCAACTAAGGAAGAAGACAGTTTGGACAAGAGTGTTTGGTTGTCTGAGTAACACAAGAAGTTTAGAGATTGCCAATATCTTGAAGCTGATATTTTCAAAAGTCATTTTATGGCCCTAAGGGGAATTTTGAGAAGGTTTCCATAAGGCTCTGCACTGTCTGCAGTTATTAACATTGTGTCTTTTTATATGTTACAACAGGGTCTTCTGGGATATAATTCTAAAGCAATGGTTCTCAACCTAACTAACACTGTGTATATTTAATTCTTTGCCTCATGTTGTGGTGACCCCTAACCTTAAAAATTATTTCACTGCTTCATAACTGGCAATTTAGCTGCTTTTATGAATTGTGATGTAAATATCAGTGTTTTCCTGTGGTCTTAGGGGACCCCTGTAGAAAGGTCATTAATCCCAGAGGGGCTGCAGCCCACAGGTTGAGGACACTGTGCTAAAGGACTGCATCGCCCACCTATTTCTTTAGTTGGGAAGAACCTGATTTTAGAAAGTGGCTTCTTTATATTTGTCTTCCTCTGTACACCCAGACTTTTGGAAAGTTATTCTGTTTGAAACAGGGCTTATTAGGTTTGATGAGTCCTTGTTCTGTGGCTGGACTTCTTATGTCAGCCCCCTTGGAACGCCCTTCAGGAATAGAGAATTCACTATTCTATCTGGCCCCAAACTTCCAAACAGTTATTTCCTTCTATTTATTTGGATTATGATTTAACCTAAGCTTTCATTTTCACACACAGTTATCATCAGGGACATTCTCATTTAAGGCTTAACATCTCTTTTGAGAATTCCCAAATATTTGAAGAAAAATATTTCACACCCAGCAACACTTTCATTATCCTATACATATTGCTTTCCTCTATATGGCATGGCCTTGAGGGACTTCATCAACTGCTTGTTCCTTTTGCCATACATTTATCTCTCTCTAAAAGATGGTGCCTAAATATGCTTGCTGACACAGTGGCTTGGATGCATAACTTTCCTTTTCTCTAGATCAGGCTGTCGTTTGTCATATTAGCATTGCATTAACTTTGTGGCAGTCATATTGTCTTTTGTTGGTCGTTGTCATTTGTGAGGCTACAGACTGCTTTGTATTCATCCTTAACTATGAGCCACATTTAAATATAATGCTTACTCTCACTAAATTTCATCCTGTAGTCCATCAATTGTTAAAATCTGTCAAATCGTTTTTTTTTTTGTTTTTTTTGTTTTTTCTGTCCATACATCTTTAGAAAATACCCAAAATCTGTGTCAGAAGAGATCTCCCATGCCCGTAGTCAGGCCCTTCCTGTGCAGCTAACGGTGTTTCTAAAATCAAGCAGCTCTGACTACCTGCTTGCGGTTTCTGAAGAACAGGATTACTGGAGAGGCAAGTTTCTAAGGAAAAAAGAAACCTGTCTCTGCATCCTGTCTTTTATTTTCATCCACAAAGTGATGCTGCAGGCATCCTAGGCTGACCAGCAGGGACCTGGCCTCCTGAGCTTCAGGGATTTTTGTGCCTATCGTCAAAACTCAAGGGCTTCAAGAGCCCAATTTTCTTATTAAGCATTTTATCCTATACAAAAGTGCCACAGTGTGTTCAGAGATGTTAACCTCCTCAAAGAGGCTGTTTTATCTGGCAGTATCTTTGAAAGCTACCTGTAGTTGCCTGGAGCAGGCAATGTCCAAATGCAGATTCACAATGCAATGCTCCTATAGGAATCAAGTCAGAGTTCTGAAAATGGAGCCTTTCATGCAGAAAGTCTTCAAACACAGATGGTTGTCTAAGCAAGATTCACTGTGGTTCAGCTAAACTAAAATATGCCTCACTTTCACACAAACTTCAATTGGTGATGATATCTCACTATGATAGAATATCATCTTTTTTTTTTTCCTGGTTACAACTGAGATGTGAAAACCCAAAGCAGCAATATCTTTATGCCAGTGCTGTTGTCAAGCTCAGCAATATTTTCTGCATTGCAAATTCAATATTCAGCTCTCAGTCCGCCCCATACTTGACCTCAGCTGGTTAACACAATTGAATACTTCACCCTCCTAGAACCTCATTCTCCAAAAGACTATTTACTACATGGGGCGCCTTCCCAAAACTGAACTTGCTAATCCTGTTATTGATCTTTGTCTTTCTACAAAGCAGTTCAACTTCATGGCATGTCTGCTTCAGCATGCCTCCACACAGCGAAGATAACCTGGGAAGTTATCCCGGAGGTTCATGAAGTATTCATGCCCACATCTTTCTTTCACCAAGATGAAACTCAGAGGCGTCTTCTATTTCATTGTCTGGATTTTAGAGAGGAGATCGGAATGCTGTTTAGTTAATCGTTGCAGAAACTTTTTTTTTATTCTCTCTTTTGTACCTGAGGAGCCCCTATTATAAACCAAAATGTAGTGATCTTCATAATAATCTCAGAAGCTCAGAAAATGAGGAAACCTTACTATTCTGTTAAATAGGACTGTCTGGAACTTGAGTAAGTGTCTAGTTGTATGTGCCTGTGAAATTTTCATCTCCTATTTCTTCTTACATTTGAATTGATTTGTTTTCTTTCTTTTTTCCCATTTTGACATTGAAGAGTATGTAGCAGGCAGATTTGGCCAGGATGACTCCCCCGGATATGCCGTCTTTAACCTTAATGATAATTATGGACAGAACTTCAGCCTCTCCATGTTTGTCCGAACACGTCACCCACTGGGACTACTTCTGGCATTGGAAAATGTCACTGACCAGTATGTCCACGTCTGGCTAGAGCGTGGCAACCTGGCACTGCAGACTCCAGGCTCCCAGAAGTTACTCGTAAATTTTTTTGTTAGTGATGGAAATGCCCACTTAATATCTTTGAAAATCAAACCAAATGAAATCGAACTTTATCAGTCTTCACAGAGCCTAGGATTAATTTCTGTTCCTGCATGGACAATTCAAAGAGGAGATCTCCTCTTCATCGGTGGCCTGCCTGACAGAAAACAGACTGAAGTATATGGTGGCTCCTTCAAAGGCTGTATTCAAGATGTAAGATTAAATAACCAAAATCTGGAATTCTTTCCCAATTCAACAAACCAGGCATACCATGATCCTGTTGTTGTCAATGTGACTCAAGGCTGTCCTGGAGACAACGCCTGCAAGGTAGGGTCACTCATGTCAAGTGTACACATAGTGAACACTAGCGTTACATTATTAAACAGTCGATTATAATCATTCTGCTTTTATTCTTGGCTTTTCAGACAGGGGACTCATTATGTAGCCCAGGTGGACTTGGATTCGCAGTCTTCCTTCCTCAACTTCTCAAGTGTGGGTGGGGATTGTGGGTATATGCCCCACACCTGACTGAAACATGTTACATGTGAGCAAACTGTTGATGCCCCGCCAGTCATGGAATGTTTTTCAACTACATCTCTCAAGAAAGACTGGTAGATTTACAATGAACCATGAAAAGTGACATTGATTTTTATTGTTATCACAAATATGTAACAACCAACATAGCTACTGTCACTTGCTTCTCTAGTCAGCTTCTCTAGGAATAATAGTATTTTAATCTACAAATTCTTAATGCTGTTCTATAAGTTTGACCAAACCAAGTTCTTTTAGGAGATCCCAATAAATTTAATGTCACTGCCCAGCTACTTCTGTTAAGTAAAAAACAAAGCCTCAGTTCTTCCTTCTGGTAGTTGGATTTAAAATCCTTTGACATACGATTTCCAAGAGCCAATATCTTGCCTTAAACACTTTTCATATCTTGCAAGCAGCTTTAAACATATAAGACAGTTATTACTTTCTGAGCTCTGAGGAAAAACAAGTCACCACACTGACATGACTTGAACATCCATGAGCCTCAGTAATTAATAGTGTAGATGAGACTCAGTTCAAAATATATGTGAACGAACCACTGTAACATTCTTGTAATGATACTTTTACTGGAACTGAAATAATTTTACATGTATTGATCCATTTAGTTACACTGAAATACTACTACTACATGAAAGGAGCATTGTTATCTCATTTATAGATTTACAGATAAAAATTAAGGTTTTTAAAATTATGTCATGTGCTGGGGGTGTGCCTCAGTGGGAGAGGATAGGCTTAGCAAGCTTGAGGCCTGTGTTCTCTCCCCAGAAGAGTAAAGAAAGAAAGGAAGGAAAAACCATGCTAACAAAAGACCCTGGATAAATGCAGTGCAGGATCTAAACAAATACTTTAAGAACATTTGTATTTTGACTACTCTCTGGGTGAACTTGAAGGCTGAAATAAAGCTGTGTCCCTGGTGTGGAGGCAAAGCTACTGGGGAGGGCAGGTGTTGGGCTGCAGTACAGAGGACCAAGGGCCTGTGCTTACTACTTCACCCGGTGACAGAAGGTTGGGCCACTGCAAGTACCCAGAAATAATAATTGTCACAACCAGTGATTCATGGCTCCAAAGTGCCTGGTGGCTTGTAAATTGTGACGAATATCATTATACTTCAATAATCTTTCTTGTGCCATGGATCCGTTTTATAGTTTCTCTTTTCCTCTGCCATTCTGTTGTTCCTTTCCTTTTTATCTCTTCCACACCTCCGTCTATTTTCCTCTGCTTTTTTTAGCAAGCAATTGTAAATGGTAGTAGTCAGCCTCATTCTGTATTATTAACAATGTATAAAATGTCTAAAATGCAAAGATGTGGGAGAATTGGCATTTTAAAGTAACAGATGATCTCACCTTTAACATTTCCATATTTCATTGTCATTGCTTTTTATCCCTTTGATTTTCTTTTCTTCTCAGTCCAACCCCTGTCATAATGGAGGTGTCTGCCATTCCCTGTGGGATGACTTCTCCTGTTCCTGCCCTACAAACACGGCAGGGAAAGCCTGCGAGGAAGTTCAGTGGTGTCAGCTCCGCCCATGTCCTCCCAGTGCACGCTGCCAGCTGGTCCCTCGAGGGTTTGAATGTAGGTGGCATTCAAAGCTGTCATCCATCCAGCTCAGTTAATACATTTCAATTGTCCAAACAAGAAACAGTGAAAAAAGAATTCAGGCATAGTCAACTTAGAGAAACCTATGTGAGAAGTTTAATAAACCTTGTGTGACCAATATCATGACCAGAATGATCTCTGGGATTCATACTGGCCTGCGTTTCTGAGAAAATGGGCCATTGTAACAACAAACCTAGCGCTTTGATTATTTCAAGCTAATTTGTGAAAAACGAGACAAATGGTATTGCCTTTGCTTTCTTGATACTGTGAACATGCAGTCAACGTGCACAAATCCGGTTCATGGCCATTTACTGATTATGTTCATGGCTACCATAAACTAAAGCTTCCTGTGTCTAAAACAGGGAGAACAATGCCTGCCTTGCATGTTTCTTTGTAAACGCCCTTAGGTGTATCACGATTGCAATAGATACCAACTTACTGTTTGTAACAACTGTCCCTCTCCTTGTGAATGGTTCTCCAATTTGAATACCACAGTCCTGATTTCGAACCAAGCACTATGGTTTGTGTGTTGTCTCCCTCCTTGGATCAAATAATGTGTAGTCTGTTCTGAGTTAAATTTTAATCTCTTCTCACTGTTTAGAAATTGTGTATCTAAAGATCGGAAGTCATCTAAAGCCTTCTCCCATTTAATGCCAACAGTATAGCGTATTGGGAAGATGGAGCCTAGTAAAGCAATGCAGTATTGAGGATACAGATCATAATTAACTTTGAGTTTACATGATCTCCAAGTCAGAGCAAGATTTAAAACAAGATTTAAAATATTACAACTCTCTTTAGGTATAAGCGTGTTTGTTGAAGAAAAGCTCCCCAAACAAACGGCAATATATAAAAGTGTGTCGAGCATTTTACCCAGATCACAAGAGGTGTTTCCACCGTATTCAGCAGACTTGCTAAATAAATGTATATAATATGATAGATCACAGAGACAAGAAGATTGGTCATTTTATCAGTTGTTTAGAAATGCAGAATAAGACATTTGTTATGCTCCTTCTCTCCTAAATTCCTTCCCCAAATCTGGTAAGGACAAAAACATAACAGTGAAGTCAAATGAGATGTTTAAATCTAGTCAAACACTACATTTAAATTATAACACTTAAATCATTCACTTAAGTTTCCCCTGATGTGGTTTTTAATCATTACCTCACTTTCCAAAGTAAAAGGTGAAGTTAGTTTCTGGATTATTCACTGAATCATGCTCAGTGAACACTTACTGAAGGCCAGGCAATATTCTCAGTGAAGGGTTCGAGTAAATAATTCTCATCCCATCCAGCTTATGCACTACAGTAGAGTTAAGAAGCAAGCACAAACCCAGTTTCAAATGGCAACAGGAACTATGAAATAAATTAGTAATAGGAGGGAAGGAGGACGCAAGGAAGACCTGTTTTAACTTGGACAGCCAGGGGCAGGTGACATTCCAGCAGACAGCAACACTGAGGAAGGACCGAGCATGAGGAAATGGGAGAAAAGACTGTTCCCAGTTTAAGTTACAGTGAATGTAAAAAGCCTGGGACAAGCGTCTTGGTTTTTAGTGGTGTTTAGAATTGAGGTCTTCAACTAAGAAGCTGTTGTGAGAGTCATCTTCAGCAGCCACAGAAGAAGGGATGATGGTGGCCTGTACAGAGCCTGGAGAGGAAAATCCCCAAACGTCTTTTCAGATCAATTGCTGCTGAAAAGTGAGAAAAAAATCAGAACAAAAAATTGACCACTGGATTGAATAGCACAGAGGTCGTTGTGACCTTGACAGGAACAGTTTCAGGGAAGTGATAGGGACCAAATCAGAGAAAATGAGACATAAAGAAGTTAAAATGAGTATACGAAGCACACTCATTTTTATGGCAACAAGAACAGAGAAATAAGAAGGGTATTAGTATAGGGCCTTGTGGGTTCTTCTTTTATTAATTTTCAGCAATCATAGCATATTTGTACAGCAATGGGGAAAAATAACAAAAAGAGAAGAGAAATAATGGTTGAGGGCAAAAAAATGGGTGCACATAGGAAAATGGCTAACAATAGTGAACATGAACAGAATCCAACATGGACAGTGTGTCTGTTGTGATGTTGAAAGGAGGGCTGGCACAGACACTATTAATTAGTTTGAGAGGTTTGGTAGAAAGTGGGGGAGAGTAGAGAGCTTCTATTTCTTCTGTTTTCTCAAGGAGGTATATAGGAGACTATAAGCAGATATATATAGGGTTAGATATTTTAAGAGACAGAACATACTGAATTAATGCTATAGCAATTTTAATTGAGAAATGCAGTGAGATGGTCAAAAGTGCTACATTTGCTGCAACTATGAACATAAAGTGTTATCATTTTCTTTCTTTTTTCCCAGCCACATGAAGTTACTTGGTTGTAGGTGGCAAGCTGGTACCTTGGAATATAATTGAAGTTTTTTGCAGCATAAATAAATCCATCATTTGTGCATTATTTCTGTTAACTGCATGTTGGGGAACTCAATCGGAAGCCAGGGTCCAGTGTTAACTGATTGGCATGTCACCAAAACTAAACCTGTGAATTCTGTGTGTTTAGTCTCTTGGTTTAAAATGGACAATCAAGGATTCCCTGACACAAGCCAATGGAAAAAATTGCATTCCTGAACATTTTAATTGAAAGGAAAGAGATGGGTTGAGTTTTGGTAGGTTTGACACAATAGGCAGGTTTAATGTTCTATTTTGGTCATTTTTTTAATTACCAAATTACTCAGCTTCTGTGGATCTCAAGTAAAACAAGGACAATAATAACACTTGTATTAGACACAACTTGATAGCAACTAGCATAACACATAAGGTTTCAAGCAACCAATATAGATATGAGTGAGGTAATAATGAATGACGTTAACTATCAGTTTCCCCTTCCCGCTTTAGGTATTGCAAATGCTGTTTTCAGTGAATTAACGAGAGAAATAATGTTCAGAAGCAATGGGAATATTACCAGAGAACTCACCAATATCACATTTGGTTTCAGAACACATGATACAAATGTGATGATACTGCATGCAGAAAAAGAGCCCGAGTTTCTGAATATTAGCATTCAAGACTCCAGATTACTCTTTCAGCTGAAAAGCGGCAGCAGCTTTGACATTCTGCATCTGATGAGTTTGCAATTGGTGAACGATGGCACATGGCACCAAGTGACTTTTTCCATGACAGACCCGCTGGCCCAGGCCTCCCAGTGGCAAATGGAGGTGGACAACCAGATACCTTTTGTGATCAGTGCAGTTGCCACTGGAAGCCTGAACTTTCTGAAGGACAATACGGACATCTATGTGGGTGGTCGAGCTATTGATAATACAATAGGCCTGCGGGGCTGTCTGAGCACAATAGAAATTGGAGGAATATATCTCTCTTACTTTGAAAATCTTCGTGGTTTCACTAGCAAGCCTCAGGAAGAGCAGTTTCTCAAAGTTTCTACAAATGCAGTACTTACTGGCTGCTTGCCATTAAATGCCTGCCACTCCAGCCCCTGTTTGCATGGAGGAAACTGTGAAGACAGCTACGGCTCTTATCAGTGTGCCTGTCTCTTGGGATGGTCAGGGACACACTGTGAAATCAACATCGATGAGTGCTTTTCTAGCCCCTGTCTCCATGGCAACTGCTCTGATGGAGTGGCAGCCTACCACTGCAGGTGTGAGCCTGGGTACACTGGTGTGAACTGTGAAGTGGACGTCGACCCTTGCAAGAGTCACCAGTGTGCAAATGGGGCCACCTGCGTCGGTGGGGCTCAGGGCTATTCTTGCCTCTGTGCTGGAAATTTCACAGGGAGATTTTGCAGGTGAGAACAAAGTCCATTGCGGGGCTTAGTCTTTGGGGCTATACGCTCTGAATTTTCCTTGTCAAACCGGAAAGCTCTCCCCCTTAGATAGCCATATGTGCTAAACAAGGTTGGCTTTGAGCACTTCCATCACAATTTGATCATGCGGAGGTGGGATTGCATTGTGGAATATTCTACAGCGCTTATTGTGTATAACTTACAGAGTTGTAATGCAGCTTGACAGAGAGCCTTTACGGCTACACCAATGCAAAATGGCCTTTGTATCGTACTCAGCAGGCCATGGAAAGCTTAGACATTCATTTAACCCATGGTTTTAAGTTCACATTTTTTCCTAAAATTGGAATAGTAGTCTAGTCTACTGCTATTGCAGCCACCTCACTTGTATGCTATGAAATCAGAGACCAAAAAAAAAAAAAAAAAAAAAATCATCTCATCACATTGCTTCAGTGTCATTATTGGTTTTGCAACTTATACCACTTTGTACTTATTAAATAGCTGAGTCATTATAAGGAGGTGAGAGGGTTGTTATTAAGAAATAATGTATTCCAGGACTTTGGCAAGAATACCTGGAGTGGGCTAGGTGGGCAGCCTGTAGACGTCGTTTTAATTCCGAAGTAGAAGATCTTGGCAGATGCCACATGCAGCCATGCCTGTGAGAAGCTGTGTCCATCTTCACAGCATCTATTACTGTTCAGAGCTTCAATGGCAAAGAGCAGTGAGAAGGGCTAATAGATGCTGTGTATAACATCATAGTCCTAATGTTTAATGTGATAGTGCTAGTATTTGGTAGATGTTACTTCCTGCAAGTAAACAGACTCATTTGTCAATGAGTAGCCTGCCTGTCTAAAAGCAGGAGAAATTTCGGATCAAAATTAGGAGTGTTCCACAGTGATCCTGGATAAGAAAACATATGCCCTCGTAAAGAGTACTATGAAACTTTTTCCTGTCTGATTCATCAAAGACAAGTTTTAAAGGACAAAGTTCTCAAAAGTCCCTTCTAATGCACTCTTCAGAAGCTGTTTATTAAGTCAAGGTGTGTGTAAAGTTAAAGATTTGCATTGCTAATGACCTCTTTTAGAGCTAGGTAACATTCTTGACACTTTCGAAATGTCCTTAAAATGTTTTCTTTTTGAAGTAGAGTTGATTAGCTCTTTTGAAAAGACACACCCTTATACCATCATGCAAATGGCCTTTTCTGCATTAGCTTCAGGGCATGACAGGAATTTGTCCTCAGCTTCCCAAATATTTATTCTGTATCTGATCTCTCTCTCTCTCTCTCTCTCTCTCTCTCTCTCCCACCCCCCCTTCTCTCTCTCACACACACACAGGACCAAAGGACCCGAGCAACAATCTTAAAATCTGCTTTAAGATCAGCCCTTTTAAGCCTAGGGATTTTTGTCTACAGTGTTTTCTTAGCATTTAACAATCTGTTCTGCCTTTTATAAGGATTCTTCAGCATGTTCAGCTGTGCTGCTGTACAAAGAGCCACATGCTGAACTCACATGCAGTCACATTGAGCATCATACACAAACCTCCTGGACAGCGCTTGGCTTGCATTGCGCAGAGCCATGAATTATGAGAGAGGGAGCAGGCAAGTCTTGGCAGGGCAACCGTAGTTCAGCTCTTAGAGCCAACAGAGAAATCACATGAGCGCTTGAGCACCACACTGTTCTCCTTGCTTTCCTGGCCTTTACAGAGATGCAATTTTCCTATGGCCTCTGTTGATTTATTAGAAAAGCAGCTGCAGCTCTACCTATAGTGAGCTCTTTCCCAGCCTGAAATTTACGGCCACCCCACGGCATACATCTTATCTCATGCACGAAAGCTGTGGAGAATAGAAGATGGATGGCTGTGTTGGTTGCAGCTGGCCCCAGCAGCGGCATTTTGCTGAAGAACATGGTGTTTGTACAATGCAGTATAATTCAGCATTTATTGTTCCTCAGGCCTCAGTACTTAATTAGCCTAACATATATGAATTTTTCAAAAAAAAAATCTTGAACAAAATGAACACGATTAACAGCTGTGGTCATTACTTTTATCTCTGTAGACACAGGAGATTACCCTCAACAGTCTGTGGGAATGAGGAGACAAACCTCACTTGCTACAATGGAGGCAACTGCACCGAGTTCCAGGAGGGCTGGGAATGTCTGTGCCAGCCAGGTTTCACCGGAAAGTGGTGAGTCACACTAGAGCTTTATGGGGAAAAGTTCTGAGCTACACAACAGTGGGATTGCCCAGAGTTCATTTTCTCCTCCAATTTGTCATCTCAGTTCCCACAGGAAAATCTATGTTGAAATATAGGTCCAGACAGAATCAAGCAATAAAAAAGAAGAAAAATTACAGTGTAGGTCAAAGTATAGAATATTTTACCAGCTAAGACTTCAAATAGGAAAATACAATTTTTAAAACATATATTATTTTATTATTCTTTTCTATAAGTGCTTCTGGATTCATGGAGTCCTTCCCTCCCCACACTAACTCAAATATATGATTTCACTATGGTTGCCTTTGAAGTAAAATAAAACACACCTAAAAGATACCTTATACAATTAACTACAACCCTACGTGTGTGTACTCCTTGCCCAGGGAACTGTTGATTCCACAGTGAATTCCTACAACTCAGGATTGGCCCCTGTACCCAGGCAATCTGTGGCCACCTGTAGATGCAAGCAAAGTGTGTAAGCATGCGATGGGCTGGGGTGTGGTCAAGGGGAAGCAAGGATGATCTCCCTGCTTTGACAAGAACCCCCAAGACATCTCCGTCCCCCAAATGAACCCAAACTGTATGGTCACAGACACCGAGGAAGCAGATAAAAGCATAACCACTTGTTTTACGCTAATCTGAACACCTTACACAATCCTCCCCACTTCTTAGAGCTCCACAAGCAATACTTACTGTTTTTATTGTGTGCGTGCGTGCGTGCGTGTGCGTGCGTGTGCGTGAATGAAGGTGAGCGAAGGTTAAGCGACAGATTGGTGTGAAATAAACGTATGCAACAACAAAAGTTGAGCTGCCGTCAAAGCTGGCGCTGCCCTACTGGGAATGCTGCCATGACTTCATGAGTAAGTGCTTGCTCAGCACAATTAAAACAAATCACAAAATGTGTTCCTCCATCCCAATCAAGATATATATGTGTGCAGAAGGAAGTAGAACAGTCACATCCACTTCCCTGTCCATCACGCCATGACAAGCAGCTATTAACTCAGCATTCAGTTGGCCTCCGATTTCACATCTTCAAAACAGTATAAATATATCTTTGTTGTAAATATAGATATCGCTTTACTATCTTTAAATGTTGGTTGCCTCCTGGCCTAATATTATCCCCATTGGCAGCACAATGAAGAGACCATCCAATACCTTGAATTATTTTTCTTTGCACTAAATATTTCCCTCTGATATATGTCATTTTTTAAATTCATACTTGCCATTTAAATTATTGATTAAGATGGGGGAGGAGTTACTAATTTTCTTTTCTTTCCAGGGAAGATTTTCATTCAGATAAACTTCACCTATGCAAAATTATTTCAAACAGTGAAATGTATGTTTAATACATTCTGATTTTGCAAACACATTAAGCCCCATTAATTAGTTCAGAACCTGATGACTTTATTTGACTTTCCATCTATTATCATCTTTTTTGTTTTTGTTTTGTTTTGTTTTGTTTTGTTTTGTTTTGTTTTGAGGGGGGACAGGGTGTTAACTGTAGCCCTGGTTTGTCTAGAACTTGCAGGGAAGCCTCAAACTTGCTGTCATCTTTCTGCCTGTCTTGTTCCGTTGCTGAGATTGCGGGAATGAGATACAACACTCGGCCCTATTATTTTCTAATAAGAGCTCCTCTGCCACTTGTCATGCATGCAGAAGGATGGACTGTTTCGCTCAAAGTAGAGATTGGTAAGGAAGTGAAAGAGCGGCAGAAGGAAGGACTAGACATGCTGCGAAAGCCTCCCAAGGCCTATGGCAGCGAGACTTCCAGCAGAGGACACAGAGATGCTATTGCTCCTGCTTAAGCCTCTGGCCTCTTTGTGTCATTCCAGCAGGTTCAGATGATGGATGGTGTGAAGGCTGGCCACCCAGGCTACAGAATGCTTGGCAAGCTCCTGAGACTTGTCAAATTTGGCTGGGATCTAATCAGAGAAGCCTCCTTCCAGCCCAGAAGCCAGGGCCATAAAAGGAAAAGAGCGTGCCTCAGCTATGCTCGGTATCCCATGGATTAGGAACTGTTTTTCTTGGAATGAATCTCCATTTCCCATCACACCAGGGATCTCAGGGCTTCTCTACCTCAGCCCTCACATGGGAGCCTGGTGAGAAGTCTCTGGCACACTCCGAAGTTCTACTTTGAGGGAAGTGGAGATCTAAAATGATTTTCATCATAAACTATTCTGCAGAGATCCTGAGGCAAGGGCTTCATGAATTTCCTACAGTAATACAAATTCCTTCATCTCTGCTCTGTCCCGAAGCCTTAGCAGAAGGTCTGTCACTCGGTAGATAAAACCACTAAATTAATCCACGAATGGCCAGAAAAAGGAGTTGTTGGCTACACATAATAATATTCCAAGAACCTAGAAGAAATGATTAGAAAGCATCAACAGAAGGATGAGCTGTTTGATTTATTCAGCCTGATTTGAACATTACACAACTGTATACAAAGTAGCAACATATCACACACATACGTACCCTACATGTGTGTGCCATTTTTGTGTTCACATGTCAGTTTTTTAAAAATTCAAAAGAAAAACGTTGATAGAAAGGGAGGTAGGCAGTGTCCCGGGACTCAAGTACTTTAGAGAGGACGTTTCTTTTTCTTTTTTCTTTTTTTCAGAAAAGTTGTATTCAAAGCACTTACTAGAACATTTAGAGTTCTGCCTCACTACTAGAACACTGATTTATTAAAAGGTTTCTTATTTACTTTTGCTCATGTTGTGGAATTTTGAAAGAAAATAACTCAGCATCTCCCAGAATTAGCCAAGTCTATCCGGAGGCAGAGACCCTCTAGAACCTTCAGAGCCCGTGTTTCCTCTGCCCTGTAGATTCCAGGCTGGCAAACTCACCCCATCTGTCCATGTACCGAAGCTGGCATTTATAAGACCGCAAACCCACCTGCCCTCTTAAGTGACAATCAGGAACTCTAAATATCTGCAGTCATCTTCTTATTTCAGTTAATTCAGTGCGCGTGCCCATGTCTCAACATCTGTGCAAATAATTTCCACAAAACTCAAATGTATCAAAGGACTCTTAAGGAGTCTCTGAAATTATCCAATATGCTTAATTGGGTCGACTTGGTGATTGTTCTCTGCCATGCAAGGAAGAAAAACAAACCATCCCCAATCTAAGAGCCCACTTATTTACGAGACCCTGAACTTCTGTTTTCCATTCATTTGCAAGGTGTGAAGAGGACATCAATGAGTGTGCCTCTGATCCCTGCATCCACGGAGGCCTGTGCAGGGACTTGGTCAACAGATTCCAGTGCATCTGTGATGTGACCTTTGCAGGCGAGCGCTGCGAGCTGGATGTAAGCGGCCTTTCTTTTTATGTGTCCCTCTTACTGTGGCAAAATCTCTTTCAGCTCCTGTCCTACCTCGTTCTGCGCATGAATGATGAGCCAGTTGTAGAGTGGGGAGCACAGGAAAATTATTAACGCACATGTGAGCATTCCTGAGTGTAAAACACTGATTTGCAAGAAACGCGCTATCTCAATGTAGGTCTCCAGGAGAGTCAAAGGGAAAATGGGGGAATAGAGTGCATGTAGAGGCAGTGGGTTCTCAGCTTCCTTAACGCCACGATTCTTTAATAGAATCCCTTATGTTGCGGTGACTCCAAACATAAAATTATTTCACTGCTACTTCATAACTACTTTTTCTACTGGTACGAATCATAATGTAATTTGATTAATCATAATGTGTTTTCGGATGGTCTTAAGTGGCGTCTGTGAAGGGGTCATTTGACGCTCAGAGGGTTGCGACCCACAGGTTGAGAACTGCTGATCTAGAGGCTTGAAGATTTATTCAAGTCTCTTTAAGCGCACCACAAGTAGTTTGGATCTATATAAGACGTTTTCCTTGTCTACTTTTTTGAATGAAAAGAATGGTCTTAATACAGGGAAAAATATCTCATTACACAGTGCTCTGAGTCCTGAGGCACTGCCATCCTCAACGCTACCGTGGTGAATGGTGTTTAATACCATCAGAGAATTTTTCCTCTCTATACACTTTTGCATGTTCCTAGTTTCCTGTTAACGGTTTACCCCTTTCACTGTGATTCTAATTTGGTGTATGTTCTTCATTCTCATCAGTTATATGTAACTTGGAAATATCTATGAAATTTTGCATTGCCTTGTGTGCCTCTCTGCAAAGCTATTCAAATGAACAGCTTTTCTTCATGAAGAAGAGGCAAGTTTATCCCCAGTAATGTGAGAGAAAGATGATCTAGGGTCAGGGCTCACATTATCCTTCACCAGCATCGTTTCTGATTTCAGAGGCCGTTCTTTCAACCAGAAAAATATTAGATAGCCTTTTTCTATTTCTTTCTCTTATTTTCCCCTTTCCCGTTACAATTGGAAACTTTCTGTTACTACTGATACATTTGTGGGGGTTTTGACTTTTTCATCAAGTCTGCCTAAATGTCTTTTGGTGGGAAAGTATCACTACAAAAGAGTTTTTGTTAGTGTTCATGGAGGGGAAAGTACTTCGACCTTTGAATGAATTCTGCAAGATGCCCTTCTGTGAGTGAGTCTTCAGGAGCCGCTCTGGATTGAAATCCCAAGGGTAACCTTTCCTTTGCATGTTATCAGTGCTCACTGAGTCATGACTGTTTTAAGGAAGTGCTTATGCTGTGGAAATGACCAAGGTCAGTCTAAATATGCCAGTCAGACAAAGGACAAGATAGTGTACTATGAAAGTTTAAAAAAAAAAACTGCATCTATTTTTATTCCTCGGTAGTTATAAATTTTCTTAGCTGCCCTCACCCTGTGGCAGTCAATGCACAGTAGCAGCAGTGCTGATGTCTTGCCTTCATTCGCATCATTTTCCACACATCTAAATATTTGTGTCGGTACCATCACTTCAGATAGCCTCTTGTAAAGTGAGGCTGCTGTGGCCAGAAAGTTAGGGAAAACTTTTCAAAAGATTTTTGCACTCCTAAGTATGTCCAGTAAGTAGATTATAGTCAGAGACCATATGTAGAGTTTCACGTTCACTCCCTTCGACACATACCTTTAACTGTGTGCTTACAGACCATTCTCAGTGTGATAAACTCTCCACGTATTATACTTAAGGAGTTCTAATGCTTCTGTTGTCACTGTAATCGTCAATTGCTTTCCTATTTTCCAACTGTCTTATTATCATTTGTTAACTTTTTGCTAAATATTTTCTCTCTCTATTCTCCTCATTTCTCTGTAGTTCAAGTGTGTCTATGTGACTAAGGATTTTACTCATTTTCACAGAAAAATAAAGTCTTTTCTTCTCTATGTTCTGTTTGTCATTCTCTGGTGGCACTTGGACTTTATCTTTATTTACTTGGACTGAGGGTTACACAGTAAGAGATCCACAAGCAAGTACACTCATACACACAGACACATAGACACACACATGCACACATACCACCACCAGGAACACATATGAGTACTCATCTCTGGATTACTCTTTCCCATATAGGTCATTACAGGTAAACACCATGACCCCAAGGGCCAGGTTCCATGGACTTACTCTGTCAAGCAAGTGATTCTGTTGCTGACCTTTGAGAAGAGACTACAACAACCTCACTAGATCTTACTGTTGACTTACATCATCCCTGACAAAACTGGTCTTCGTTTGACCTGGTCCCGAGAAAGGATCATCTCACCTAGGGTCAGAAATTCATATACTCAATCATTCATAATTCACACACGTTCTTGTGGGTCAAATTTCTGTAAAAAAAAAAACTACATTTACTTGATAGAAACTCTTCATTTTGCTGATATTTCGTTGTTAGCATCTGTACCACAATAGATTCTGATCAGGGTTACTTCTTTGTGAATGTATACATAAGAGTGGTTTTAACCATCCTCTTTCTGATGAAGAAAAGAGAAATAAAGAAAACAGGGAAACTTGGATAAATGCCATGTTTTAATTGTAAAGATGAATGTAAATTTAGTTAGTACTGGTTCAGAAATCTGGGTCACAATTGTGAGGAGCCATTTTTAAGTTCATCATTTTTTTTCCAACTAGACTTTGTCAATACTATATCAATAAAAGTCCCTCCTATTCCAAAGATTTTACTAAATTTTGTTGGAAGATCACTAAAATAGAAGTTAGTTAGCTAAATACTTCAAAATTAAAGCTCTTTCTGGAAGTGGTGTTATATATAATGTGAATTTAATAATTAAAAAATTCTATGTCAACTACTAATGCCATTTCCAATACATATGACTTTATTGTTCTGCATGACCTTTTTTATTTACTCAACAAATGATTTAATGAATACTTAACAATATGCCATTCCTTCGTAATTCCTGGTAAGCAACCATGAAGTAGACTTGATGCTTGCCCACATAAAGCCAAAAGGAACAGTAGGTAGGGAAGGCCAATCAATCAAGAAAGACAATTTTTCAGTCAGTATTGTTATGGAAATAGGTGTGCACTGTGGGGCCTGTGAAGCAAGGAATTTTTGTCCAAAATTAAAACTGAATGTAGAAGTTCAAGAAAGCAAGCTTTACAAGGACTGTGCTGAGACTTAAAGGTAAGTAGCAGCTTTGTTGTAAAGGAGAGGTGGGGTAGACAACAATACTTCAAGCAGTAAGGGTTGGACAGTGTGGCCAAAAAACCAAGACTAAGATGCTGAAGTAAATGTGAGAATGATTAAAAGCCACGGAAAGACCACGGCTTTTCATCTTAAGACTACCACAGAAAGACCATGGCTTTTCATCCTAAGCCTACTAGGGGGCCTTTGAAATGTTTCAAATGGAAGAGTGACAATTACACTTGTGCTCTCAAAGATTACTTGAACTTGTGTATAGAAATGGACTAAGAACATACAAGACTGCACTAATAAATGTCTAACTAAGAGGCTGCTGCAGTAGCATGGACCTCTATAGTTACCTCCATAGCTCTCTTCTTTCCAGAATTTTCTTCTTTCACTTCCAATTTCTGTTATAAACCTCTTTATTCTCTTCCTTTAAGCCGTTAAGACTGCAAAATTGGCCTTGGTTTTAGTTAGCTTAGGACTGTAATCAGAAAACAACCTGAAAAATAAATTAAAATCACCCATGCCCTGTTCCTTCCAAGCTCGGCTCCTCTGTAGACCATACATACTTCTATTCCCAGTGCTCTTGGATATGTTCTTTGTCATTCTATCTACATTTTAGTTGTTAGTGCCTAAAGGTTGTTATAATCGAAGACATTTTATTAGCACCTGAAGAGAAACTGCAATTTTAAGTAGGTCATCTTAATTCTCCTGCTCTCTATGCTGCCTGGTCAATTTTGAGGTACCGGTTTTCCTTTGTGTGTGTGTGTGGGGGGGGAATCACATTTAAAGAAAGGTGTCTAGGACCAAGCAAAGGGCATCTTATAAATAGGAGGAGGATAAAGGAATAGTTTCTCCAAAAAGCACAGACTGAAGGAAAGCACAAATGCCACTTCACAACTTCTCTTTACCACCAGAATATAAATAGTAGGCTTGGTGCACACCAAAACAGAGGGAGGAAATAAGACACGGGATATTACTTATAGGAAGATTTCAAGTCAGTATATGCAAAAATGAGCCAACATTAGAACTCTTCAGCAATATTCCAAATTGATTTGCAACCAAGTGAACTCCCAACCTAGAAACCTTCAGGTAGAATCTGTAATGATGTCAGGAATCTTGTGAAGAACACTTGTACACTGACTGGGAGAGATGCCTAGAGTTGACAGGTTCATAAGCACTAACCATAAACCAATTCTGCACAATTAGTCTGTTTGCATCTTGAAAATCTGTTAAGGTTGCATTCTATGTTACTTATGATAGCAGAGTGTTGGGGCTGAATGAAAATAGAATTTTTTACTCAACTAAAACTCGAGAGGAAGTGTAGATTGCCAGGCCAAATTGCTGATCCAAATCTCCTGACACTGAGGGAAAAATGAGGATTGGAAAAAATGCATCTATGAATTTGAGATCATTAACACATTGGATCATGTTATGGTGAAAAAATTTCTGAAAATGAGGAATCTCCTTAAGAATGAAGTTTTAGGTACACTGATTTATTATGTTGGTTTCTTTCAAATCGAAACCCATTTAGCACTGTTTAGCTCTGTCCCATTTAGCACCCCAAAAGCACCTTTATTCAGAGAAAAGAACAGGCTGAGCTGTGATACTTCATATGCACACAGAGGTTCTCTGAGCAAGGCTTGAGGCCACAGTCAATCATTTTCTGGCAGGATCTGCAGTAGAACCAGGGCATGGGGCCAGGAATGTGTAGAGCTATTGGGAAAGTATATTTGAATGTTCTTTCTTTCTTGATCCATTAGGTCAAATAATGCTGTTAGAAAGACATTCCATTGTAAAGTACAAAATAGTTCTTGTTGGAAGATTAAGTTGACACTCATTCAACAATTAATGAAACACATGTTGACATTATAAATATATGACATGATTATTTCATATGGCTTAGTCCACTACATGATAGGTGTCTGATATCTGCCAGGATGCTGCTTCTCCTGAGTTTTGAATTATTATTGTGAAATAAATGTATTAAAGGGTTTAAAAGAATTTTAGCAACCCTCAAATCTAACTCTCTACATAAAGAAGAAAATATAAGTAAGGAGAGGGTGTGCCTGAGTTAAGCTATAAAATACCAAGTCTCAGGGCTCAGGAGTTGGCACAGGGATTAAAAACATTTGCTTCTCTTTCAGAGGACAGCAATTCAGTCCCATCACCTCTACCTGGTGCTCACAGCTGTAACCATAACTCCAGGGCAGCAAATGCTTCTTTCTGGTCTTCACCAGCACCCACACACATGGGAGCCCACACACATGGGAGCTCCCCCACACACAAATAAATCTCTAAAATATCAGGTTCCCCAATCCACAATTCACTTTTCTTTCTATTCCTATACAAACACAGTAAATCATTTCTCCACCTTCCAGACAGGTTGCAAATGAAGTTTTCCCAGTATCCTAGAACATTGTATCACCTCTATACAGAGAACTAATTTTAAAGAATAAAGATGCATATAATCCGATCAGCGTTGGACCTATACCCATGAAAACGTAGTCAGTCTACAGATGTTAAAACATCAGGAAGGTAAATATCATGAAGATTGTCAACCATTATGACTTAACATTTTTGTAGGGCAATTCTTAAATTATATTTATGGACAGAAAACTTAGAGTGTACCTTTAACCCAGTTTAGTGGTGAGTTCTTTGGCCTTTGCCTTTTACAACTTGGCAATGTGAGCCACGGACTTTTGACCCAGGACATTGCCTCCCTAGCAGTGGCCGATCTCATCATATCTGCCATTGTAATTGGTCCTCACAGCTTCCATGTCCTTAAGCAGAGTGCCTTTGTCTTCTGAGTTAACCTGTGTGTAGGTTGTGCATGTGCACGTCTTCTGAACCAGCAGGCCAGCCTGACCATGCTCTTGATGTTGCAGTAGGGGACCTTCATCTTGTGACACAGGATAGGCAGAAAGGCCACCAGCTCAATGGGGTCTATTATGGGCTGTCATCACCCACTGAGCCATCTTGTTCTTCAGCACGGTGGTGACTGTATTGACCTCTGCTGCTCAAGAGACAGGTGGTCTCTTGCCACCGTCTTTCTTAGCATGGAAGAGCAGCCTTTGCTTTTTCTTTTCTCCTGGCCTGTAGTTCCAGGCAAACTTAAGTAGCTGGGTAGCTGTTTGCATGCCAGAGCCTAGGTAAACTATTTTAAACACTTTGAACAGTTATGGAGGATGACTCTTTGCCAGGTGCAGGCTGATGTAAAGGGGCCATTTGACGAAGTGAGTGAGGTCTCTTTTGGGCTGGCTCTTCTGTTCAACACTGAATTTGTTAGGCCTTTTACCAACTTTTGGCCCTTCTGTGTCTTTATGACAGCAGGGCCTACACCACCTTCTTCTCTTTGCCCTTATTTCCTTTGGGCAATTTGCTCAGCTAGAGGAGAGTTGTTTTTTTTTTTTTTTTTTTTTTTTAATCTTAAGATCCTAGAAAGTGAAAAAAGCAAGGTTAAATCTAGCTTGATGTTTTTTTTTTAATTTTTTCAAACTATTTTTTATATTAATCACAGGTTATTTACTTTGTATCCCAGCCATAGCCCCTTCCCTCTTTCCCTCCCAACCCCACCCTCCTTCCCTCATCTTCTCCCTGCTCCTTTCCAAGTCCACTAATAGGGGAGGACCTCCTCCCCTTCCATCTGACC